GGACCTTTTATCTGCTCATTGTAATTGGGATAATGAGGGAATAACACACACCTGGCCATGGAACAGCTGAGAAGCCAATTGTCCCATTACTTTTGGTCCCTTAACAAGTGGGAGACACATATGCAAACTGTTGTAATTCTTACACTGTTCACCTGATTTGGATGTAAATACCCTCAAATTAAAGCTGACAGTCTGCAGTTAAAGCACATCTTGTTCCTTTCATTTCAAATCCATTGTGGTGTGTATAGAGCCAAAAATGTTATAATTGTGTTGATGTCCCAATATCTATGGACCTGACTGTGTGTGTATGTATGTGTGTGTGTATATATATATATATATATATATATACACACACACACAATTACAAAAATATATCAAATGTATATATATTTAGATATTTATATATACAGTATTTTAGTGCAGCTGGCAAGTAATGATAAAGCAGTACATAAAATATATTTGAGAAACACTTTTCTGGCCTACCTTTTTTATGTGTCGCCATGGTATTTTGTTGTTATATCTATCAGATGTAAGATTTCTATTGCAGTTTTTTTTGTCAGCGAGCTTTAAACATCCAACTGTTTATAAGCAAAGATTAACTACTATATTGAACTGAAGTCTGAATATCTCAGTTTGGAGAAATGGTAAGCAGGTCTGTCAGCAATAACCAGTCACCAAATATTATTGTCATAGGCGGTGATGGTGGTGAGAACTCTTTTAGCACAACTTTCCCTATAGTTTTATTTTATAAAATACAGCAGTGGTTCTCAAAGTGTGGAACCTTAGGACCCACATTTGTCGTGGTCATTAAGTTGTGACCCAAAAATAATTTAATTTCCGAAACATTAATATTTATTCCACGAAAGTGCAATATTATACAATGTACATCATTTTACATAATAAAGCACTTTTTAGACTTGCACGGCTGGCTGGCTTGAAGAAAGTGTAGTTATATCACTTCTTCCCAGCGCTGCCGCAGAGGAAGGAGAAATGACCATGAGGGCCGTGGGACAAAGTGTAGTGTGCGTACCACCTTAATGGGACTGGCTGGCCAGAATAATACAAATACTAAGTCCAGTCTCGAAGTTGCGGTCCCGTCCATCTTAACATTTGTATTATTGCTGTTTTTTTTAAGCTATGTTGTCAGGGCACCAGACGATTTATTGGGGCATTAGAAAGGCCGGGGGGGCACTTGCCCTACAGTCCAGTCTGCCCCTGGTGCAACCCACTTGTAGGTCATGACCCATTATTTTAAAAATATGGGTCTACAGGGTGTTTTATATATTTTTTGATGACCCGATCAATTGGTATAAGCTTATTATACCTTATTCCTGTGTAACTGCTGCTATTTAATTCTCTATGTTCATATATTTGTATTATAAGCCTGATTTGTACTGTATTACCATTACCATTATCCAAAATTCTTGCCTGACAATAAAGCAACTAGTGTGTATACATACCTTTAATAAATAAATTAAAAAACCTCAAAGTTGTTAAAGATTTTTTTTCCTTCTTTATGTAATCCGTCTTTCTCCAGCGCACAACTATTTAGTTGTCATATTAATATTGAAGCTTTCAGGATGATTGGTGTGGAGATTGGCATTCTTAAGCAATTGATGTTGCTTAGGGTTTTCTGTGACCTAAGGAAAACATGACAGTCAAAGTAGGATCAAATCTGTCATTTTATCCTTCAATTGACAGAGCTTTTTTAAGCGTTCGTTCAACTAAGTGTTTCTAGAGGCATTAAGGTAACAAACTACCTGCAAACAGATCTCATCCCTGCCCCCCCCCCCTATACTTACCTGAACCCAGTCTTGATCCAGTGATGTGCAAGAGAACAGCGTATCTCCTGGCTCTCTCCCACTTTATTGGCTCAAACACAACAGCGGGAGCTATTTGTACAGCCAGTGTACAAAGAGGGAGCGGGGCTGAGCCGCACTGTATGTGTGTTATAGACACACAGCGCCAGCTCAGGAAGGAGCATGCTTGAGTGCCCCCATTGCAACCAGCTTGCTATGGGGGCACTTAGAGGGGGAGAGGCCAGGTGCACCTGTGGGGGACCCCAGAAGAGGGGGATCAGGGCTGCTTTGTGCAAAACCATTGCACAGAGCAGATAAGTATGACATGTTTGTTATTTTAAAAAATACCCTGTACAATTCTGTTCTATATGCAAAAAACATGAAATGTATGGGTTATGATATTGATCCCATCATACTGTAATGTGTGTAAGTAAATTAGTGTGCCAAGCATTCAGTAAAACATTAACAAACTGGTCCCAAAATCAGACATGATTTAAATCCCTTTCAGTGATATATACAAAATATACAGGGGCGTCCGTAGGGTTGGTGTCACCCAGTGCCAGAACACTGGGTGACACCCCTCCGACGATCCCCGCAGGATGGATCGGATCTTCGGATTGAGCATAATGGATTGGAGTCTGATCCATTATATTCCCCAATCCGCAGATCCGATCCATCCTGCGGGGATCGTCGGCTTGAAACCTATACAGGGTTAACTGATCTCTCCCACGAGCTCCACAAAAAGGTAAGTTTTAAAGCAAGCCCCCCCCTCTCTCTTTCTCTCCCCTCTCTCTCCCCCCTCTCTCTCTCTCCCCTATCTCTCCCCCTTCTCTCTCTCTCCCCCTATCTCTCCCCCTTCTCTCTCTCTCCCCCCCTCTCTCCCCCCCTCTCTCTCCCCCCTCTCTCTCTCTCCCCCCTCTCTCCCCCCTCTCTCTCTCTCCCCTCTCTCTCCCCCTCTCTCTCTCTCCCCTCTTTCTCCCCCCCTCTCTCTCTCCCCTCTCCCCTCTCCCTCCCCCCTCTCTCTCTCTCCCCTATCGCTCCCCCTTCTCTCCCCCTTCTCCCCCCCTCTCTCCCCCCCCTCTCTTCTCTCTCTCCCCCCCCCCTCTCTCTCCCCTCTCCCCCCCTCTCTTCTCTCCCTCCCTCCCCCTCTCTCTATTCTCTCTCTCCCCTCCCCCTCTCTCTATTCTCTCTCTCCCCCCCTCTCTATTCTCTTTTCTCCCCCTCTCTCTCTATTCTCTCTCCCCTCCCCCTCTCTCTATTCTCTCTCCCCTCCCCCTCTCTCTATTCTCTCTCCCCTCCCCCTCTCTCTATTCTTTCCCTCCCCCTCTATTCTCTCTCTCCCTCCCCCTCTCTCTCCCTCCCCCTCTCTCTATTCTCCCCCCTCTCTCTATTCTCCCCCCTCTCTCTATTCTCTCCCTTCCTCTCTCCATTCTCTCCTTCCTCTCTCTATTCTCTCCCCCCTCTCTCTCTCTCTCTCTCTCCCCCTCCCCCCCTCTTCTCTCTTCCCCCCTCTCTCCCTCTCTCTCCCCCCTCTCTCCCTCCTCTCTCCCCCCTCTCTCCCCCCTCACTCTCCCCCCCCCTCTCTCTCCCCCCCTCTCTCTCCCCCCCCTCTCTCCCCCTTTCTCTCCCCTCCTCTCTTTTCCCTCTCTCTCTCCCCTCCTCTCTCTTCACTCCCTCTCTTTCGTTCTCTCTTTCTGCCCCCCTCTCTCTGCTCCTCTCTCTCTCCCCCCTCTGCCCTCTCCCCCTCTGCCCTCTCCCCCCCCCGTCTGTCCTCTTCTCCCCCCCTCTCCCTCCCCTTACTACATGACACTGCAGTACTGTCACCAGGGTCGGGGGATTACACACCGACCTGCTGCATACTCTGCCCGCCCCTCCAGCTCTCCGACTTCAGCACCCATGGCAGGGATGTGGACCCGCCCTCTGCTCCAAGGAGGAGAGGTGTCCGAAGTGCCTGCCTCACTGTCCGTCCCCTCAAGGCTTGCTTATTTCAGCAGTGGCACATGCAGGGACAGACTGAGCCTCTCATGGGGCCCTGTAGTGACCCCGGGCCCTCGGTCAGTGCCCAATTGGTCAGTCCATCCCTGGTGGAGTGGGTCCGGTGTCACCCCATGCAAAAGGTGTCACCCGGTGCGTCGGTCACCCCTCGCACATGCTTAGGGACGCCCCTGTAAATATATATATATATATATATATATATATATATATATACACAAAATATCACTCTAGAGCTATGAACTAAAAAAATATATTATTGCTGATTGAGGGACACAACTCTGTAGATTTCATACAATGGGTTATATTGCATCCCACAGGAGGATCTGGATATTAAAGGATTAGTTCACCTTTTTGTCACTTCCTAAGGCTCTTTCTCCTGGATCTCTGCTCATGCCACAGCACTTTGTAGAGCTCCTGATTGCCTCATTATTCCTCTCAGGCTAAAAGGGACACGTCACTGCCACTGCAAGTTCCTAGACATACCTGTTCCAAGACCTACTGCTCCAAAAGTCATTGTCAGTATCTGTGGTGTTGCAAATGCCCCTATTTGGCATTGGCTGTAGCATTCTGCAGGGCAGTTTTGGTGGTCAATATCGCTTAACCACTTGCCTACCAGGCACTTATACCCCCTTATTTACCAGGCCAATTTTCAGCTTTCAGCGCTGCCGCACTTTGATTGACAATTGCGCGGTCATGCAACATTGTACCCATATGAAATTTTGATTATTTTTTTCTCACAAATAGAGCTATCTTTTGGTGGTATTTAATCGCCACTGGGCGCTTTACTTTTTGCGCTATAAATAAAAAAGCTGCAAAAAATTTGAAAAAAAAAAAAAGTTTCATTGTTTCTATTATAAAATTTTTCAAACAGGTAATTTTTCTCCTTCACTGATGGGCGTTGATGAGGCAGCACTGATGGGCACTGATAGGCGGCACTGATGGGCACTGATAGGCAGCACTAAAGGGCACTGATAGGCAGTACTAATGAGGTGTCACGGATAGGCGGCACTAATATGCAGCACTGATAGGTGGCACTAATAGGTGACACTGATGATGGGTACTGATAGACGGCACTGACTGGCATCACTGCTGGGCACTGACTGGTGGCACTGACTGGCACAACCGCTGGGCACTGACTGGTGGCACTGACTGGCAGCACTGCTGGGCTGCGCTGGTGGGTGGCACTGGTGGGCAGCACTGGTGGGTGGGCACAGGTGGGTGGCCCTGGTGGGCACAGGTGGGTGGCACTGGTGGGCACAGGTGGGTGGCACTTCTGGGCACAGGTGTGAGACATTGCAGAGTGGCACAGCTGGATGCACTGCTGGGCACAGGTGGGTGCACTGCTGGGCACAGGTGGGTGATCATCTGGGCACAGGTGGGCGGAGTTAGTGGGTGCACTGCTGGGCACAGGTGGGCGGAACTTGCGGGTGGCACTGCTGGGCACCGATCATCAGGGCACTGATCATCAGTGCCCTGATGATCGGTGCCGATCCTCGCTCTGACAACTGCCGGATCTCGGCAGTACTTTCCCCACGATCTGACAGTGTGAGGAAAGTGCAGCCGAGAACCGGCACTTGTATTTCCCTCTGATCAGCGTGTCATTGGACACCGCTGATCAGGTGGTAAAAGGCCGCTGTGATTTGCCTTTTACCACATCACTTGATCAGCTGTGTCCGTAGGACACAGCGATCACGGAGATCGCCGGGTGCGCAGGAGAGCGCGTTCTGGTGGGACGTCATATGACGTCTACCCAGAACTGGCCGGCCGCAGTGCAGCCGTCATTCGACTATCTGCGGTCGGCTACTAGTTAATGGGCTACCCCACTGCTATTTAGTTTGACATTCAGTCGAGCTTTTTATTATCTTGGCGGTTAATGTTAGTCCTGCCTAAGGTGAGCTGTTGGTGCTTGGTGTAAGTGGATTGGTCCCCAGGAGTACACTACTGACTGAAGTAGATGGTCTTCTAATGGGCCTATTCACACGAGCATTTTGACCTCCGTATGTATAGGAGGTCAAATAGATTTGGTAAGAGGCTATATGACCTTGTGGTGGAGGCATTCACGTGGAGAGCACTTACATGCTAATTTATTTGCATGCATTGGAAAATATGCACAGACTTTTTGGCCCTGATTTACTAAGAATTAAGTCTACCAGCAGACACTGAACATTCAGGCACACTCAATTCAATCAAGACCTGTCAGTCTTCAGAAAGGTGTCTAGCAAACTCATTGAAAAGAGTCTACTTTGTAGACTCTTTCCTGTTAGTAAATCCAGAATCACGTCAGGCACATTTCTAGATGCAATACCAGATATGTTCGCTAGGTGGCGCACAACCGCGGGCTTTGTCCAGTTGATGGTTTTCTATTTGCATATGACAATACTTATAATTTAAAATAAAAAGCACACCTATATATAATTTTTTTTTTTTTGGTTGCTGTTTCTCCAAAAATGATCAGACAACTAATGCATTGCCTAATGAATGTCATACATTCTATTTTCAAATGTCAAACATTTTCACACATATCTCAAATAATTGGGAATGTCTAGTTATAATTTCCCAATATAATTATATATTTTCATTCTCTTTAATCATGTAACTATTCTATGTTAAAGTAATAGTGCAGCGCTATAAATGCATGTTAATCATAAATGCATGTAAAGTCAACAAAGTGCAAATAAGTGCAATAATGGTGTAAACTGGTAAATGGTGCTAAAAAAAGTTCATATAATGATTCCTGAATAATGGAATGTCCTTTGTGTGAGAGTATTAACTCAGAGAGTGCCTATGAATTGCACGTGTGGTTTATCCGTGTCGAACAGTAGTGCATGCACTCGTGAAGGGTAATCCACCCTTGGGACGGGTGTACACACTCACCAGAACAAAAGTATTAATGCGCATGGGTTATACACATCACACATCTGGGGGTGCAGCGGTATGCTAGCAGCTATGGGTTAGTCATCCAGCTCCATCTATCCATCCATCAGGGTGGGTGCCAAAATGGTCCTGGGGAGGAATTAGCTCAGCCACAGGAGCCAGAAAGGTGCTTAATAGTGTAATACTTTATTATAATGGTCACGAGTAACCATTTAAAATATCCACATGGAGTAATGAAAGTTATAGCAATAGGGCTCCACCCAATGCGTTTCCTGTACCAACACATCCTATTGGTGTACTCCTGAGGTGCGCCCCTGTTGGACGTGTGCATCCAAAATGCACTGGAAGACGTAAAAAACGCACCCAAAATACACTGGAACACGTAAAAAATGCATCCAAAATGCACGGGAACACGTCAAAAACGCATCCAAAATGCTCTGGAACTTGCTAAACATGCATCAAAAAAGTGCATGCAAAAACGCATCTGGAACACATCTAGACTGTGAACTGGCCCTTAGGACTTATTCACACCATTTGTGGTGCAGAAACGCATTCAAGAGCACGTTTTTTCCAGCACAGCAAAGAAATGCAATGCCCTCTGCAGATGTGCGCAGGTACCATGATGAAAACTCAATTGCACCTCCACACGTCTAGTAAACACAGACGCATTCACAGCCACCAAAACACATGGCACCACACTGCTGTGCAGTTAGGTGCAACACACTTTTAAAATGATATGCCTGCAGTCTTTTTGCATGTTCCCACACGTTAGGCAGCCCATCGAAATTCATGAACTGTGGAAAAAAAAAAAGTAAAAAATGCCACATTCGCACAGGTCCTCTGGCCTGTACAGCATGAATGAGTGTGTTGTTTATGTGGCTGGAGCCACAGCAGCTGTATGAACACAGGTTTTAATCTGACAGGTGTGAAGGCATGGGGAAGTGGCCCTGAATACTCACTGTGTTCAGGGCTGTACACCTGCACCCACATGCTTGTCAAATTAGGACCTGCAGCATTTCCATAGTTTAACATAGGTTGCCTGCAAACGGCGACAGCCACAAAAACAAACCACTGATTCACACTCTACAGGACACAGCACCCATGTGAATGAGCCCCAAGACCTCAATTACACACACCGCTTTATTTATGAACTCAGTACAGTTTTATCATTTAGATTTCACAGAATATGGTTGGGATTGTGTCCATTAATGTTTTTAGTGTATTTTTACTATAAATATAATTTGGATATTTTCTCTGGTGGTGGGGGCTATCAGGTATGCTGTACAGGACCCCGTGATATCTAACCGTGGCCCTGGGTGTATGCTTGTGTTCTGCCTCAGCTATACGTGGTGCGGGTATAATTAGACAGACAGATAACTGTCCTCCCTTAACAACTCATTGATGCAGGTGCTAGGTCCTCTTTTCAACTTTTATTGCAGGGAAGTTAGAGTAAAACTACAAATGAAAGAAATAACATTCAATCAGTATATACAAAATATACAGTCCTGACACACTAGTCTAGCTAGAAAGGATTTTTAAAAACAAACATATCGGCAATGTTTCCGATAGGCTGACAACAGAACTGCAGCTGAATACGTTTGGAGTCCTCTGGAGGAGATGTAAAGATGGCTGCTAGGAAATGTCTCTAAGACCTCATGGTGAAGCCCATAGAATGATGGGAAAACTACAGTGGTCTTTAAGCAATAAAATGTGTAACTGCAGAAACTAATCTATAAAACTGTAGTACAAAAGAACCACTAGATGGCAATGTAACTACAGAAACTAATCTATAAATTGTGATACAAAAGAGCCACTAGATGGTGATATTACACTTTACCTTACATTCCATAGCATAATAAACTAACAATGGACATAACATAAAAATATGCTGAAGGCATGACAGCTTGTGTCTGTGCCACCTGTATAGTTAGGAAGAACAATAACTTCTTCAGAATACCTTGAACCTCTGCTATGTACCACAATGTATCTAGGAAACGGATATGTTTTCAACTGAAAATACAACAATTATTTGTAATGTTTCCCCTGCAAATGAGGATCAGCTCCTCGGTCGAGAACAGCGATCTCGCCATGTCCAGATCTGGTCTGGAATTCCACAAAAGAACAATTCACAAAGCCAAAAAATAGATTTGCAAATTACCACTAAACTCTCCTAACTACACTCCCATCCACTAACTCTCCCCACTACCACTTCCGGGTGTGCGCAAACGTCCTTCCGCAAATGTCATGACGTATTTCTGGTATGACAGCTGCTCTAGCGCCTCCTCCAACAGCCGTCTTGGTGTTTATTTGTACACCATAGCAATTTTCCATGCGGCTCCATTGTGTATATGACATTCGCAAATATATGTTTGCAGTTCTATTGTGTATATGACATTGGTGAATGTATGTTTGCAGCTCTACTGTGTATATGACATTGGTGAATATATGTTTGCTGGTAAAGGCCCAAAGTCAACATAAATTGGGGCCTAATTTATTACTGTAAGAAGATTGTAGATAAAGAATAGCTAGCTGCACATTAAACATGACCTATTCAGTGGTACATAACATGGTCTTGTGGTGCAATAGGGTGCTTTTGGTTTGTTAGTTTGCACATACTTGCATATGTGCACTCTAACAAGCTAGATTTGGGCATATTATATAGTTCGCAAAATATAAGTGTTAGGGATGCTAGTATATTGAACTTGAACATGAAATAACCCCCCAAAAATAAACATAGTCTAAATGTTTATTGATCAAATACATATTCCACATTTATTTGGACAGCAGCAAAAAGTAGGTAGTCAATTTCTTGGTGGGAAAAAAAAGCAGGATTGATGTTAAAATAGAACGGTCCTGCTCATAAGAGCTTACAATCGAAAAGATTATACCTCTAATGAACTGTGCTTTCACAGGTTACAGCAGGAAACAAACGGTTAATATGAATCACGTAGTAGGCTTATCTATCCACAAAACAGGCTGCAGATCAAAATATCAATCTAAAAATACATACATGCCAAAATAAAACACATCCCACCTCTCCAAATACCCCACACATACATTTCTCATCAGGTTTGTCTGAAAACTGCTTTTCAGTCTAAAAGAGCAAGCAAATTATAGCCCAATGCAGATTTGGAAGAGCAGAGCAATTTACATGTGTTAGGATTACAATGCAAAGATAATAAACACACAATCATTGTACAATAACACACAAAGACACCTTAGAAGGAAAAAAAATGCAAAACATTTACAGCCCACATCAAAACACAGCGTGAGTGTGTGTCTGGGGCAATTCACCATATCATCTCTTCCTCCCCAAACCACCACAGGCAAGGACTTGCAGAAAATAACCTGGCCTCTTCCAAAACAAAAATCACCCACTACTGCAACTTTTTATATAGCATAGGCCACACCCACCACTGTCATTCATTTGGTCAGAGAAAGTGTTTGCACCTGATTAATTCCCTTCCCACCTGTGTCTTCCTTTGGTATACAGGCCCCGCAAATCAGAGTCAGAAAGAAAGCCACAGTAAAGTGCACCTGTGCAGCATACAACAGAACATTGAACAGGGAAGTGAAAGGGAACCCCATGGCAATATTTATTGGCATTATGGGCACAATTCACTCCAGATTATTGCATGAGTTAAGGCAGTCACATGACCACATCTCGCATGCAATACTAATAATGTCAATTCACTTTTGCTAGT